AAAATTATTTTAAACCAAAAATAACAATTAATAAATGTGATCTCCTCCCTATCAAGTCTATCTAACATAGACAATTGAATTAAAACACTAAAAGAAGTATTGCATATACAACTTGCAAGATCACATATTTCTTACAACCAAAAAAGTAGATTACCTAAAGAAAACATACCTATTGAGAAAGATGCTGCAAAATGGGAAAGAGGGGTAGCTAATATAGCAACATCCGAATTCAATAGACTATATGATTGTAATGGAACGAAGTTATAAGTAAATGAAATGAATTTGAATAGATGGGGATTACTATGACAACGGCCAAGAAACCAAACTTCTCTACTAATCAGCATTAATTGTGTCTTAACATCTATATATCATAAGTTTGCAAATGACTGATGAGAAAGGCTTTAAGAAATTAAGAGACTTGAATATCAATACAATTAAATGATTATAAGGGTTTTTATGTAATTTTACTAAAACACAAGTTGATTTCAATTGTACCCAATGTTCAATCAAATATCGGTCACATGTTAAACTTACCCCTAGCTTTAAATATCTAAGAGGACATTTAAATAATTATTAAATAACCAAATTAGCTATAATGATTCATATTCAATACTCCAATTGCACTTTAAATACTCTCATATTCCCAAAATAGCCCCATCTTTGCGGTTGAAATCTTTGCCCTAAACTCATTCTTATATAGTATAAGGATATACACACACACAGCTATTCTGCTTTTCTTGTCAGAATCTACCATACTAGTTAAGTACTGTCTGATCGAAGATATATCATTAATTCTTGTGAAAAAATGGCCAATTTAGTTCCTAAACTTTTTTTTTCCGTCGATTTAGTCCCTATATATTATTTGTAACCAATTTAATCCTTAAACTTATATTTCGGTTCCAATCAAGGAACTCAGCGGCGGCACCACCGCATAATTTTCATCATGCTCCTAATCCAGAAACCCAAAAGGGGTATTTTAGGGACTTCAATGTTGGGGACTACCTCCCTCCCACTCTTCCTTTAGTCAACAATGGCAACCCACATATCTGTAAAAATAAATGACACACCCAATTCCACCAAGAACCAGGACATCATAAACCCCAAGCTTTCTTTCTCTCTCATGCCCCAAAACCCACGGTACGACATCAGAGAAAGGCATCAATTTCATCCTCATAAAAAACTTGAAAAACTCACACTTATCATCCATTTGCCCAAAAAAAATATATCCCTATCAGTTGAGCCAATGCATCCCTTACAGCCCATCTCATTAAAACAAATCCAAACAGCCTTCTTATCCCCAAATTTTATCCATCCCAAATAGCTTTGAAAAAGTTCTTGGATTTCCCTAACAAATCATTCGCAACCTGATAAAATACAATTCCTTTGACCCAGCTGTAAGTAACCAAGAATGCCAAGATCGCGTACCCATATGCAACTGATAAAATCCCAACAAAGTATATCAATGCTGTGGTGTCGCATCAGCCTAATTCAAGACCCCCTAGCAAGAAGTGTAAATCAACAACAGCATTTGAATCCTTGGTGGAATCATTAGCATCAGGATGTAACGAGGCGCTTTCTTAAGGAATTTCTAATGGCTCTGGAGGGTGTATAAAGGCAACCACACCAGACCGTACTGCGAAAGAGACACCATTGTCCACAATGGGGTCGGGCGAAAAACCCTAGATTGGAGTTGAAATTGGAGAGAATCACAAAGGTTGAAGATGGAGTGGGCTTAATCGGAATCACCCAAGAAGAAGTCTTCGTCAAAGGTGTGATGACGGCGGCGAATATGGTGAGGGTGGTGGTGGTGGTGGTATTGTTGGTTGCCAAATAGGTTGAGATGGGAGACGAGGGACTTGAGAGAAGGGTCGCCATTGATGGAAGAGATGAGGTAGTGGACCCCCTTCTCGACGTTGAAACAGAAGGCGAAAACGAGATAGATGAGGAAGATAAAGGTGAAGGGATGTGAAATGAAGAATCGGGTGGTTTTCTTGAAGATTTGGACTACTAATTGATTGCTAATCGGGGAGGGAAGTGAAGCTACTGGAGCTGGTTCGGGAGGACGGTGGCGGTGGTTCATGGCGGAAGTGAGTTTGGGTTTCTTGATTGAGTTTGGGTTCATGGCGGGAGGACGGTGCCATACATGCATACTTAAGCCCTGTTTGGCACCTGAGTTTTTTGGAAATTTGTCTAAAACTTTACTGTAGATCACTGTAGAAGTTGTAAAAAAACTTTTATAAGATGAAAAACTTTTTCCTTTTCATTTTCTTTCTTTCTTTTTCTTTTTTCCTTTTTTTCCTTTCTTTCTTTTTTCTTTTCCTTCATCCCTTCCTCCCTTCCCGCTTCTTCTCCCTTCCCCAAGAAAACCGGCACCGGGAGCCTCAGCAACTCTCATATTTCCCCCGGCTCTCCGCAGCTTCCCTCGCCCTCAACACCCTCTCCCCTCGCCGCCCAGGCTGCAAAAAACAAGCCAACCGAGAAATGGGTTGCGTCCGCACCAAGACAGTAAAAAAGTCCTCCAGCCAAGTCATCGAGCGCTACTACTCCAAGTTGACGCTAGATTTCCACACCAACAAGAAAGTCCTTGGCGAAGTCGCCATCATCCCATCAAAAAGACTCCAAAAACAAGATCGTCGGGTTCTCCACCCATCTCATGAAACGGATTCAAAAGGGTCTAGTTTGGAGTATTTCGCTCAAGCTTCAAGAGGAAGAGGGAGAGCGCCGCATGGACTTCGTTCCTGAAGAATCCGCGATCAAGACCGACAGGATTGAGGTCGATAAGGAGACCATTGAGTTGCTTGCCGTCATGGGTATGAGCGAATTGCCTGGTATTGTCCTCAAGGAGGAACAGTCTCCTCTCATGGTTGGATTTTTCTTACACAAAGGAGTATTTATCGGCCCCTTCTAATTAAAAAAAAAAAAAAGAAAACCGACACCTAAAGAGTAAAGAGAAGTGATCGGCGCCGGAACGGTAACGGAGGTGGTGGCCGGCGACAGAGGTGGTGGTGGGTTGGGGTGGGGGAAGAAGAAGAAGAAAAGGGGAAGGAAATTTTTTTTTTTTTTTGTGTTTTGGGTATTTTGAAATGTGTAAGTGAAAAACTTTGAGAAGTTTTTTTAAATTACTGTAGTTAAAGTTGGTAAAAAACTAGTATAAAACAAACTTGAGTAAAAACTCAAGTTCCAAACAGGCCCTTAGTGTGACATTGGGTTGGAAAAAAAAATTACTCATCTGTCAACGATCCCAGTATTGACTAGTTACAACCCAACATTGAAGTCCTTAAAATACCCCTTTTGGGTTTCTCGATTAGGAGTATGATGGAAATTATGCGGTGGCGTTGCCACTGAGTTCCTTGATTGGAACCGAAATATAAATTTAAGGATTAAATTAGCTACAAATAATATATAGGGACTAAATCGACGAAAAAAAAGTTTAGGAACTAAATTGACCATTTTCCCAATTCCTGTCAACAAAGATGGAAAAAACACTACTTATTTTTCCATTTAAAGCTCTTGAGGATCTCTCAAAGCGATAGTTGCAGCAACAACAGTTTCAAGTAATCGCTATTGATTTTATTTCTTTTTCTTCATTTTCCTCGCTTAAATCCAAAACATACGCTGTCAGCATTAGATGTATAACAACTAAATTAAATTTAAATTTAAAGTTCAAATTTTACATATATATCATCAGTTGAGATTCTCTATATCACTGTTCGGCGCTAAATTCAGTGCCAATCCTACTTTATCATGTAATGGTAGAAAAAATTTAAATAAACAGCACATGACAAGTTAAATAAATAAGACACTTGGTATAAATATAAAAGTAGCACTGAAAAAGTGGCTCTGAAGATCTCATATGATATATCATGCATCCAATCACGATAATATATTTATTATCAGTGTATATAAAATTAATTCTCAGAAATAATTTTCTTTTGGAAACGGAAAGGGTTGAGCCCTTAGGGAGCGTTTGAATCTATCATCTTGGGCATCTAAATTGATATCCTTACTTACTGATGATTGGAATTGAACATACTCTTAATGAAAGGGTAAGTAGAGAAAATAATGAGACCATCCTTTTAAAGTTGGCTGATGATTGAGAAAAATAATGCTAAAGCCAGTGATTAAAGTAATACTACTGGGCTTGGCCGTGGACCAGAAACTAAGCAAAAGTTTCAATAATCGCATTCCCGGGCCATGGGACATGGCCCTTGGGCATTTGCTTTAGGACCTAATGCGCGTTAATCGTGAGTTTTAAGCATATTACTTTGCAAGAATATGGTCCCACTAACATCGTGGAAATTGACAATTTATTAGTATTATTATTTGAAAAATGTTATTTGTACTCTATTTTTGGTTATTTGCATTCCCACTATTTATTTTATCATATATTCTAATAAGTGAAAACTATATGATTACAATGATGGTGAGAGTGTAATTACCAAAAATGTGAGTGCAAATAACATTCCCCTTGTTACTTCTGTTGTCATGGTCGATTCTCGTTGTGATCGTGTAAAACAAATTCATAATAAAGTTGCACAAAATTAGATTTTTTACATGACATAGACTCGCATTTTATGTGAATTTAAGGTTTCTCATGGATTAAATCTAGCACATATGGAGGGGGAAAGATAGGGATTAGCAACCTTTAGATGTATTTCTTTCTTTCCCATCCAAAATAAGCACAAAAAAACTGGTGGCTTTTCACGGAAATCCAGCAGAACTGAAGGTACTCCATCCACGGCTCCAGCAGTAGCAATGATTCCCAAAACTTTTTAACTATTAATTTCGCAAACACAACCTTTTTAATTCTCAAAACCAGATTTCATCCATGTCCCACCATGAGACACTGCGTCTATTCGCAGTTCCTTAAAATCAGTTTATAGTAAACCTTTCAAGCTCAAAGTTGGAAATTCCCTAACGTATAATTTGGTAAGTCTCGTAAGACATGTCTTAAGACTAGGAATTTTGAGGATTTACACCTTTCCAAGCATCACAACAGGTTAAAAGGCGAGGTTCACAGATATAAGCATCATACGCCTCATCAGAATTTCACTTCATATGAGAAATCAACACAGTGGAAGTAATAATGCAATATCATCAGGGCCTAAATAAGCAGGGTGAGCTGTAAGCTCAACTCACTCACCTCCGACTCTAGCAATTTACATCTACTTATTGTTGGGTTGAACTGAAAAAGATTTTGAATAAAAATGAAAAGAATAATTATAGGATTGCGGAATATATGGTACACCTCTGTGTCAAATGCAACACGCCTGTCATGTATCATTGCTTTCCCTTCCATCGGTGAGGAAGCCTCCATTTCTTATGCCAATATATGGAAATTCTGGACCACATAGGGAACCCGAAACTGTACTCCAGAGGCTCATCTACAGGCCCTCCAACAGTCAGTGGCAACCATACATACCTTGAGTCCCTCAAATCAGCTGGATTCCATCGATCAGCCACGAAAATGAACGAGCCAGGAAATCCAGGCAAAGGAAGCACACAAGTGCCCTGAGAAAAAAATGTTGTCAGTCGAAAAATTTTGTTACCACCAATGCATGGGTTTCCGATGGTCTCCCATTGTCCCATTATTGATTCAGTAGCATGGGCTAGAGCCTCATTTGGAGCCCAACCAGTGCATCCTGATGTAATCATGTAATATGTGCCCTGGTGCTTGAATAGAGCTGGGGCTTCCCGGTGTTGTCCAACAAGAATCCTTCTCATGATATTTGTCACGTCCAGATAGTCTTCATTGAGAGGTCCGATATGAAGCTCACTGTTGTCCTCTGAAGAGTATACGAGGTATGCCACCCCATCATCATCTTTGAAGATAGTCATGTCCCTGCTATCAAACCCATGAGGTCTTTTGCTGTAAAGATACTTGAAAGGGCCGGTAGGAGAGTTGCCAATGGCCACACCTACTGAAGCTTTTGTGTAGTTTGTATCATCAATATGCATCCACATTACGTATTGACCCGTCTTATCATTGTAAATGACTTTTGGCCTCTCCAGAACATTTAACTTGTGCAGATCATGAGTTTCATTCTTTTCTTCAGCTGCTAGTACGATCCCTTCATTTTTCCATGTCCACAAATCTTTTGATGAATAGCAACCAACGCCAATAACATCAACCTGTAACAAAGAGATTACTACTTTTTTGAGCCATAAAGCTGCAATGTGCATTTGAAAATAACGTCCATGATGCCTGATTTAACAAAACAAAGACACTTAACAGGTAAGCACTGTGTATCAGTTATCAAGAAAAAACACGATTAATCTCCTGTCTAAAAGGCAATGATATGTAATAGGAAGCTTAGTATGGTTTTATGATATATGTCACTAAATATTTAGAGGTTCTTGGTGCTCATAGACACCATTTGCATTGCCATACTCTTCTGACTCTCTTCTACTATCTAAGAATTTTGTCAAAACTACCAAGATTGGGTGGACCATGTAATGAATAAGACCTACTTCTGCTTTTGTCACAAACCGAAAATGAATTTCCAATTTGACAACGATGACTAGTCCAGCTAATTCAGTTGCAACTCAGGCCCCTGTTAAAAGGGAGAACCTACATGAGTTGACTACACATGGAGCATGGGATTACCAAGTTCATCTGAGGATGTACTGCAATTAATGGCTTCGGTCTAAAACTGATTGATTCTCCTTAAGTGTCGGAATTCTTCAAACATCTCCTCAATATTTTCTGAGAGGAGAAAGATTAGAACTAGCTTTCTTCCTCAACTTCTTCCTATTCTGACTTCTTGGGGACTGGTCATAAGTTGAAACTAGAGTGACTCAAAAGTGCACCACCAGTTTACCAGTAATTTCCATTCATATGGATTCCATGCTCAAAATGATCTGTGAAAAGCCTAAAGCATGTCACTTCCGTTCAATCAATTTTTTCTGAAGCATTTCATTTTGAGAACAGAACATGTGAAGAAACTATGCCCCAATGGGGGAAGAGAAATTTATATGTCAAGAATTATATTGACATAAAAAAGTTAGTTTTGTTTGTTAAACAGATAATATGAATGAAGGTAGATTACACAAAAGAGTCTTGCAATCTGAGTACCTCCGTGAAGAATAGACTAGCCAGGGGCAACCAATTATGATCGAAAATCTAAATAGCAATTGCAACTGCTCTTCTGAAATTTGTCTTTAAGCAAATCAGAATGAAATGATTCAAATTTACATTTAGAAAGCAAAGGAAAATTGCAGGCCTACTTAGAAGGTAAAGGTTACTTCATTTTGACCAAGAAGATCACAAGTTCTATTAACAGAACAAGACTCTTTGTTTACAGGGGCTACTGGTTAGACAGCATTCACCGAACTCTCAACCGTGGAGACTTACGCCGTCATTGTCTATTTCTCAAAGAAGCAACAGATGAAGGAACTTTTTACTTTGGTGGCTGGTCATCTGTCTTAGTAAGGGACTAGGATGTATGGTAAATTGAAATGCCAACTCACTGGCTATCAAGATTATACTTTTTATTCTAACCAAGTAGGGTACATAATCTACAAAACTAATATTCAATAGTCAGACATAACAGAAACACCAACATATCCATAGCTCTGCATTTAATGAAGAATCGTCAGATCATGATGCAGTGGCTAAATGCAATCCTTTAAGAGAAGAGCACCACTATCCTCCTCAGAAGAAACATCAGACAAATTCCTACTGTTTGACCTATAAGTACAGCTGACATTAAACATTTTTTCAAACCTACCCGGGCTGCACCCTTTTTGTGAGCATGATAGGTGGGACCATCTTTAAACTCTCCATACCAATAGTATGTTTCTGTCTTTTCATCGTATAGAATACCACCTCCATGGGCTTGAATTGGATTTCCATCAGTATCCAACCAAATTCTACCAGGGAAATAGTAGGAACTTTCATTCCCAGTATCCTTTACGGGATCTATAGCCATAGTCTCATCAGGAAAGAAAATGCGCCTGAGCTGGGAAGACTCGTCAAGGAATTCATCAATCAAGCTAGTGTGGACTTTCCTAGGCCTCCTTTTAGCAGCACGAGGAGATCGTCTTCCCCTTGGTGTGGGACTTTGTATATTCTCCTCCTCAACCTCTTCAAGCTCATGCAATTGCAGGCGGTGGCTTATGCGCATCTGATTTTCTTCATTATGCACATCTGTATCATGGATAAAAGTGTACAGTTGAAGTATAAGAAAAAATCCCACCAAGCTCCATGCCAACAATGAGCATCTGCTCCCTGCATTGCAACGTAAAGTGGTTGGTTTCCGGTATTTGTTCCTCATCCTCATTTTTGTTCCCTTTTAAATCTTCAAGATAACACTGCAGTTAACAAAATGCAGCCTCTAAGGAGATTTAAAACTAGTGTAACAGGCATACAATTTCAACTTTTGAACATGACAACATACACATGGAGACGTGGAAGAAAAGTAGAAGAGCAATTTTTCGTAAAGCATGCTTTAGGGCATCAAATTATCCACCATCGCAGCTCATTGTTGCGACGTATCTTTAGAATAAAGAAAATCAACTTATCTCAAGGTCATAATGGAGCTAAATACAAATCTTTTCTTGAATGATGTAGATAAAATACTTTTACCCTTACCACTGAATTTTGCCTTTGCATACACAATAGGTATATATGAAAAGTCAAAGATTATGGTCCAGACACCATAAATTGTGTCACTCAGCAACTAAAATTACCTAAAGCAATCTTGAGGTGTGACTGAAACAAACACAAGGACACAGGTAAGAACTGAAGAACATTATTGGAGCTCAAGCTCAACCCATGGATAGGTCTAGTTCGACAGAATGTTAACAACAAAACTCAAACTAAATCAACTAATGGTAAAGGGAGAAGAAAAACCTTAATACAAAAATTAAAAGATTTAAAAAAAAAGTACCAACGAGAATGTGAAATCAGCATCTACAACTTAAAATTGAATACTGGAAGAAGATTACCTAGAGCTAGCAATAGTAAAGAAACTAAGAAGTTAGTTCAAAAAGATAATGAAATCCATGGTCGGACATCTATCCATCACAGGCCAATCCAGGTAATTCACATAACTTCCAAGCCAGTATTTAATTTCAAATTGTCTACAGAGCAAGAAAAAAAAATACTAAAAGCAGAAATGCAAACAAAATATACCACCACAACAAAAGAAACACAAAAAGCAATCAGTGAAGTTGCTGAAAAAAAAAAAGGGTTTACCTGAAGAAGAAGACAAACCAGGTGGATATGGAGCACAGATTCTGGACATGGAGTTTGCTCTTCTTTCACCTCATGTACTTAAAAATTCTCCAATCCACAAACATCCCAATTTTTTTTTACCGGGTCAATACTATAATCTCAGGAAGCAAAATCTCAATACTCTGAGGTCCCAAGAATTTTTTTTTTCCTTTTCTTTTATTCTCTGTAGGTAGGAAGGGGGAAAAGGGTCAAAATTGACGGAGGAAGAGCTGAATCAAAGACCCAAATAGTAAAAGAAAAGTAAAAGTCACAGAAAAATGGAAAAAGAGGAAAGAGGAAGTAAACACTAGATAAGGCGGTGGCTTGGGTGGGTTAGAGAGTTTGATGTTGGATCGACACTTGGTATTAAGTTGATGAGCTGAGCTGAGATGATGATGGCGACCGTGTGATTGCCGCATGAGAAATGATGAGGACGACAACCAGAGGCCGATGACTTCAGCCCAAAGATGCTCTCTCTCTCTCTCTCTCAACAAACATACATTAGTAGTACTAAGTCAGTAGTTAGCTAGTGCTCTGCTTCTTTCTGGAAGATTAATGATTGGATTTCTCCCTACAGTATTAAGGTTTAATGCGTAAATTTGGGACATTGGTCGAGTTGACTGCACCTGAATGGGCATACAAGAACATAAAATTATGTATATTATAAAAAATATAAATATACATTAATCGCATAATTATACGAAAATTACAACCTTCTAGCCCTTGTCTACTCGTCCATTGCTACTACGTCAATGTTTTTTTTTTTTTTTCTTTCTGCAACCAAAATTTTCCGATTGGAAACGTTAGTGGCCAAGGCCTAATTCTTGTGGAGTTCATTTAATGAGAGAGAACCCTGTACATATGTTTGTGTTGTTTAGGAGTTGCAGAAGATGGAGGAGACAGTGTACAAAGTACGCCACATTGAAATTTAATTGATTGGTCTATGTCTTATCCTGTTCCGGGGAATGAATGGTGTTGTATTAAGGCTTGGTGGGCGAGAGTTGAAAGGTTTAAACTTTACTTCCTATTAATTGTCATAATATGTGATTTTTTTGAAAAATGTATATGTGTATGTAATGCACTTGTTTAGTACGGTGATTCAGTCTCCATCAGCTCCTCATAAACCCAATTGAACCTCCCCTTAGATTAAATTAGAATAGAGTAATATAGATAAAACGGCGATGACAAAAAAAAAAAAAAGAGAAAGAATGAATGGTGTTATATTAAATGAGCATGGTCTTGAGGTTTGGAAGTAGCTGTACACTGTGTCTTTCTCTATTTGTCTCTAGTAGAATTTATTGTTGTTTAATGATTCGAGCACTAACATTTTTTCAAAATGGATAATTTTAGTGTATTATTTGAAATATTATTTGGAATAATTACTGTAGCACTTTTTGTGATATGATGTGTATGAGATAAAAAGGATGAGATAAAAAGGTGATTGGGAATATAAAAAGGTAGGTTGGGAAATGTGTTTGTGATGCAAGCGAAATATTATTTGGAATAATTTTGATATCCAAACACTCCTTTGTTTATCAGGTTACGTTTATATACCCGTATTAGACATAGGACCCTATTCGAACTTTTGTAGCTTCAAAGTGGTGAACAAGCTGTCCTGATGTTAGTCTTTGGTTGATGGTATATATTTTTTGAGTACGTTCATGTGCCTCGTTAAAAAGGTATGTACTTTCTGGTACCGTACTGAACCTTACAATCGTTTAAAGATGATGAAATTACCAAAAGAAAGAAGTGGGGAAGAAAATGGAACAAAAGTTGAACTGTTCTAAGGATTCTTATTTTTAATTAATGGCCTTAGTGCACATATTTTCATCCATAATGCATAAATTCATATTTATTGTCCGCCAACACTTTCCCTATTTTAACTAGTGGTTTAAGGACACTAAGTGGACTAATCCTGCTTTTAGTCACAATGACATGACTTTAGCATTTTAGGACTGTAGGAGATTATTTGTAAAAATTATTTAGGCCGATAACGTAGCACTTTTTATAATATGATGTGTGTAAAATATATAAAAAAAAAGTAGGAATTATAAAAAAGTAGTTGAAATTTGTGCTTATGATGCAAGTAGAATAATATTTGGAAAAAGATTTTCCAAATCTTGATATCCAAACGGAAGTGTTTACAATTTTCATTCTATTTAGATAGAGTATCGATTAAAATTTCCAAGACTAAATCACAACGCTGCTTGCACTGAACTCTAGGGCTCAGCCCATCTTACCCATGAAGTAAACATAACAGGGCTAAAATTAAACTTACTCTAAACTTCTCCTATTGAACCACTCCATGTTCCAATCTGCCTTGCGACTTCATGGAGTAAAATTATGTTTACCTACATGAGAGTTCACTTCACCTGCATCTTTTTCCTATCTATTATCTATATACACTAATATCTGTCGCAAATTTTTTTTTTCCCCCTGGTGCTACGCAGGCTTGGGAACAATGGAAAACTTGGCAAAGGATCGGTGTCTATCTCGACAAGTTTTTGCCACCCAGAGTGAAACCAAAACCGTCATGATTAATGACAGCGATAAAGCAGATGACCATAGCATTCTTACTGAGGTTTTGAATGGCTTGCACTGGCGAACAACAATATCAGAAAATGCTTGTTTCACAGAGGTACACTGAGTCAAGCTCAGTAAATCCGGAAACACATTAATCAAGTCTTGAATGGAGTGGCTATAGGCTTCAGCCATCACATAGGAAGCCTCTGGAAGAAATCTTCCATCAATTAAGCATTCTTCAGAAGAATTGCCCTTGTAGCAGGTGAACCTCGATAGAATCTATCAGCCAAAGAGAGGAACTTGTGAGAATCAGCAGCAACTGATGTGATTACATTATGAAGCGCATAACGCCCAAATGTCAGCATTGAGACACCCATGGACGATCACTTACATTTGGTAAATCTCCTATTGGAATAGCATCTTTGTGACAATTTTGAGGTGCATAGACGTAATTGGGTGCACTGGCAAAAGGGTCGCAGATTTCCTGAAATCCTAAGGTATCTTCATTGCCTTCTTGAATTCCAAGAACTGCTTTTAGCTCTGTCAGCTTTGTATTTGCCTGCAGTTCCCACCAAAAAGCGACCAAGGATAAGTTATTTGCTAGGAAATTCGAAAGTTCAGAGTTTCCTCTAGCCTCGAGTTTACCTGGGAAATAAAATTATGAACAGTTTTGCCAATTTGTACCAATAAGTTGTTGGAATCAGATGGTGATGCACAGGGATGTATGAACCTAAGGCTACTGTCATCAGGATTTTCCTCAAACTTCACCAAAGCTGAACATGTGTCTCGTGCAAAACTGCATATCCACAAAATTTTGTATTGCCAAGTTAACCTAGTAAAACAAAGTGCATCTGTGCTGTAGATTGCTTTCATGTATGGACATATCAGAGTATGAGTATCAGAGGAATAAGAAAGATGAAGGGATTGATGCTCACGTCTGGAAGAAATAATCAAAACCTGTCAGAATCCAGCTTAGAGTCGTCAAGATCCAGCAGCAAAATATTATGCTAAAATACATGAGCAAGACCAGTTTGAGATCCAGCAGCCAATTATTTTGCTTAAATACATAAGCAAAGACCAATTGGAGATAAATGTAGCGATCAGGGAGATATGAAAGAAGAAGAAAGATGTTTCAGTTTTGAGCATCCAAAAAGCTCCACTTACACCATAATTCCAGGATACCAATGCAGGATCAGCAAAACTGAGCCAAAGCAGCGACCCATTAGTTAAACTGATTTGGTTTTGTCACACGTTTGTCAGAAACAACAGAATTGAAGTAACAAAAAAATAACCAGTAAATGTAACAAGGGATGCTTCTTTCTTCGTTTATGCATTTCTTCCTATCTATATATAAAGAATAACTTCCTTTAATTTGTATTCTTTCAAATGCCAACCTGAGTGCTTATCTGGGGCTGGTACTAAACCTAAGAAAACCACACAATCGAGCCCCCTCTCCCAAAACCCCAAAGGCTTCTTTCTTTTATTAGCACTTCTTAAAATCAAGTTCACTTGAACCAGCTATAGAATATGATAGGAAGAACGTGGCTACTGTATGTTGTTCAGGTTTCCAATATCAATCGAAAAGGTCATGTTTTAAAATTTATTTGAAAACTTGAAGCACTCGTCTTACGACCATACTGATTTAAGTGTTTGTTAGACATTGCACTATATGCTTGAAATGCATCAATTATATTAGAAAGTCTCACCTAATGCTGCAACCAGCAACATTAAATTGATTGTCACTACTGCAACAGTTGTGGAGTACCTAAAATTAAGTTGGAAATAAGGTACAATGAATTCTTTGAAATTAAAGAAAGCTTAAAGTGAACTTTGAAGCAGTGATTAAAAATTTACAGGATCTCAACTGCTTCGTGGCTTGGATGCTTGGTTTTTGCAACGAAATCTTTAATGAGTAGTGATTCCCTTCTTAGCCGATGGGAAGTTACATTCAAAAGATTGCACGTCTGTGGATCATAGGGACGCAACAAGGCCTGCATATCTACCAACGAATTTATAACTCTACGCATGGCTCCGGAAGCATCGCTTGCAGCACCAAAGACTGTATCTACGAGCATGTTGGCTCTCTTCTGACTGCTCTTACTTGCAGCAAAAACAAAGCTGCTAGCAATTCTTCGATCCAAAAAGAACAAGCATATCAGGTCCTCAGGATGAAATTTCTCATACTTAGGATAAGAACATGTAAACCATTTGGATTTGAGATTTTTTATATACATAACATGAAACAACAGAAACTAAGCTAGACAGGCACTCACATGGCAAGCAAAGTGAATAGAACAACCAGCGAGAACGTTGCAATGTAGAAAGAATGTGGATAATTCACAATTCGAAAACAGCTACCGAACAAGTTCTTCAGGATCAAGTAACTCCCAAATCCCAAGCCAAACAAGAACCATATGCCGGCGACCGCATAACCGTGGATTCCTGTAAATGCTGCAGACTGGAAACATTGGAGGCGGGGAAACATCAGTACAAAGCATTTTCCTGGGGGATGGTACACCTCTGATTATCTGTACCCGGAAATGGGAAAAAGTACGTATTAATCGATCAAACTTACGGCCCAGTAGTGTCGGTTTCTGATATCATAAACTCCATTATAAGGTTTGAAATGGCGCAGGGGATCAGGTCTTTTCAAGCTCTGTTCCGGAACGGGGGAGGCAAACACTAGGCAATTGTAAGTGAATGTAGTAGAAATTAAAAAGAAAAGTAAAGGAGTAACAATCCGGTTTGATTTAGGCATTACACTACTATGTGACTTCGGCTTCTGTTGCGGGAAGTGTGTATTTTTTGGATGATAAAAACAGCAGGAAAAATCAAGAATTGGTGTATGGAGGGAAAGAAAAAGGAATTGAAAGAGAAAAGAAGACATGGATGGTGGATAATCATGGCTTGACTTGATGATTAAGGTAAGAATAGCTTGTTCCGTGTGATCTGCGAACCTTTTGGTTGTTATTCTCTTTTGG